GATACTGATCTAGCAGTGGAGAAGCTACAACGGGATCTTGATTTAATTAGCGACTGGGCTGATACCTGGCAGATGAAATTTAATATAGATAAATGTAAAGTAAGCCATGCAGGGAGCAGAAATATAAAGTACATATATTTTATGGGTTCCACTGAAATAAAGGTAGCTGATTATGAGAAAAACCTTGGTGTGTATGTTGATGCTTCCATGTCCCACTCTCGCCAGTGTGGGGAAGCAATAAAAAAGGCCAATAGAATGTTGGGTTACATCTCTAGGTGTGTGGAGTTTACGTCAAGGGAGGTGATGCTACGATTATATAATTCCTTGGTAAGACCCCACCTTGAATATTGTGTGCAGGTTTGGTCACCATACCTTAAGAAGCACATTGCTGCCTTGGAAAGGGTACAATGTCGGGCTATGAGTGATTCCTGGTCTTAGAGGAATGTCTTATAAGGAGAGGTTAGCTGAGCTGAATCTGTTTAGCCTTGAGCAAAGGAGACTAAGGGAGGACATGATCCAGGTATATAAGATTCTTACAAGTCTGGATGCTGTACTTCAAAATTAGTTTACATACTAGAACTTGTGGCCATAAGTGGAAATTAGCAGGAGAACATTTTAAAATGAATTTGAGGAAGCATGGAATAGTCTTCCTGGTAGCGCAAGCTAAAACCCTGGGTCCCTTTAAATCAGAGCTTGATAAGATTTTAACAATTCTGAGCTATTAGTTAAGTTCTCTCCAAATGAGCTTGATGGGCCGAATGGCCTCCTCTCCTTTGTAAATTTCTTATGTTCTTATATATGTTATCAGCAGAGAAAAATCAAACATAAAAGAATGTGTTAACTGCGTTGTTAAATAAAGTAATAAAAATAAAACAATTCCAGTAAGAAAAAAATAATAGGGATCCTGTAGGGATAGGGATACTGCTTGGACCCCTAATAATAGGATCTTTCTGTAAACAGTCTTTGAACATGAAATAGTTAGGTAATTGACATATAGCTCAGCAGTGGAATCAAATTTTTTTTTCTTTGAAAATGTAATGTTTTCCTTGGGTTTCATATGTGTTTGAGGGTGTATACACTGTTGCCTTGGGCCAGTCCTGCTTGGTGAGCATGACTGGCATGCGATTCTCATGACCGTTTTAAACCCTGGGTTAGACGTTGCTGTATAATGCATATCCTGAATTGGAGCCACTGCAGTTTGCTAATCACTTTGTTTCAAATTTTGAAATCGATAAATCATTCAGCCCTAGCATAGGATATACTAGGCTACAGGCTAGGATCACAACAAAAGATGGAACAGTTAAACTTCTTAAATTTGGCCAATTGATCTGCCAGCCTGATGCCCCCCTCCCCCAAATCGGTGAATTTTACCAACAGCACCCCTGCCCCCACCCTGATCAGTAAGTTTTTCTGATGGCACCCTGCCCTCTGATTAATCATCTGTCATATTTCTCTTCTGGCTCCAAAAAAATCGCTCAAATGGCCCATGTCAGTCTAGGGCTCCCAGAGAAGGCAATCCACCCTTGTGCTACATTTTACATTCTTGACAATTTTGTGCTTCATGCTTTCCTGCTTCAGCATGGTAATGTCCCTATGCACAAACAGGTTTGTACAAAATTGGTTTGCTGTGATGGGAGTGGAAGAGCTTGACTAGCTTATACAAAGCCTTGACTACCTTAATTGAACACCTGTGGGATGAACTGGAATGCTGACTGCTAGGCCAGAGTCCAGACCACACTGGTCAATGCCAGTGTCTGGCCTCACCAACCCTCTTGTGGATAAATAGCAGCAGATCCCACCAATAAATGCATCCAAACAATGTGTAAAGTAAAAAAAAAACAATGTGTCCTGCCCCGATCGTCCGCTCCTTCCATGTGCCACGCCCCCTCGTTAACCCCATGTGGAATCGCCGTGTGATCAGCTGTTTCTGGTTGTTGTCATTAGTCCTCTGTATTTAGTCCGCGTTTCAGTTTGTTTCCCCAGTTCGGTCATTGTATTGTCCGTCTGCGTTTTGCCTGCCTTACCTGTAATTAAACCCCATATTCCCCAATACCCTGACATCTGCGCCTTTGTTCTGTCCCCGCTCGGCACAACAATATTATTATAATTAAATGTATTAATGGTTTATTATTAATATAAAAATAATTAATAAGAAATCTATTTTTAAGTGTATTTTATTATATAAATAATTACTGTTACTGTCTATCATTGTCTAAATGTATTTTTACTGTCTAAATGTATGTATTCAGCTAGTGTAAACATGCACGATGCTATTACAACGAATGCGAGGCTGAGACTGAAGCATTACCCTATGTTTCCGCTGAGAGACGTACCGTGTTACTCATTTCCCCGCGCGTACAAGTTACCTTAGGTCGGCGTTCACGGTTTCACTCCTGAGATTCAGATCGAGTTCTAGGTAAAAACTTTTTTTGAACTGGGTGGTTCGACTTTTAAGAAAATCGAGTTCTAATGAGTTTGAGAACTGAGGTACCACTGTATTATGTTAACTGTATTAGAAAAGAAACTTATCTATCTAATCTATCAATGAGGTGCTAGGATATTTGTAGTCCTGTTCATTTTTTCCTTTATCAGTCTGTCAAGGCTAGTTTCAAAATGTGACATTCTAAACATCGTATGTTTGGGGACAGCATGTGGCTCCGTTGGCTAAGCCTGTGTCTCTGAATTTGGAAGGTTGCTGGTTCAAGCCACGTGGCTTCAGCATGTCTGTGGGCCCTTGAGCAAGATCCTTAACCCCCAGCTCCCTGGGCACCGCCACGGGTACTTGGCCTTCACTGCTATGTTTGCTCTCACCTGGGAACAAGATGCCAAAATGGGAGACAAAACGAGAATTTTCCCACAGGGGTTTGTAAAAGTGTAATCATCATTTAGTGTTAACAATGGAGAGGTTCTGCTGTTCCAACATAAAAAGGGAAGTTTTTGAACACTAAGGTGATTGTCGTTCTCAGGGATTTTGCACTCTGTTCTGCTCGTGTGTGGGGTCCTTTTTTTTTTCTTCTAAGACCCTGACAGATGATGAGAGTGCAGTGTGAAAATGTCAAATGAACAGAGCTGTACTCTGGAAAAACCAAGGCAAATGGTTGAGTTCCATCATCTGATAAAGGGGCTCTTAGAAATAACTTTCCTTCTTACTGTTTTCTTAGGGTTTAAGTCTGGAAAAATGGAGTCTGCCATTGTATTGAATGATTTCAGAATTGTCTGGAAGTGCAAAGCTTTTTACTGTGAAGCTCACTCATGCTATGGGCAAGGAAAGGGCAGCATTATGATCAAAAAGATGATACAGGAACAGTATCAAAGGCACAGCACAAAAAAGACAATGCTTGTTTTCCTTTGAGCTCTAAAAATGAAGTCATGGGATGTGGGAGAGATTTTTCTGTGGGCTGTTCTTAAAATTGTTCTTAGTATTCACTTTATGGTTAAAATGACTGAGTTATAAAGACAAAAATATTTGGTGGTAAAGGTGGCCGCATAGTTCAAATGAAATCAACATTGTTTTAGCAATACAGCATCATATGAGCAGTGATCACCATTTCAGCACACCGACTGTGTATGGGCCCTGATGCACTCTCTTTCATTTAGTTCTGATCCCACACCTTGTCCACAATTGGCCATATGAAACATGCACTCTCTTCTGTAACTAGAGCGCCACAATGTTCCGAAAGTAAAAGCAAAAGGCTTTGCAAGCATGCATGCCTTTAAAGGAAGACCTGCTGAACTTATCCACATTTAAGCAGTTATCCATGACACTGTTGAATTCTCAAATCTCAAAGGTGTTAATTCATTTTCTATAACCTCACACATAGTGCCAGCCTGGTGAATTACAGTTGTACATCAATTGTATTCCCCAGACTGAACTCAGCCTGCCTCCTCCCAGTCTATACACATATATGGATGTAAAATTTGTGGCCATTAAAAATGATTTATTTAAAGCAGACAAGGCTTCTGGTGATACAGATAATATCCATAGTAATTGCAGAACCTGGCTGTATTGAGAAAATCAATAGTATGTGACTGTCAGCTGGTATCGATACCAAATTGGTTGGGAACAATTACTGTCTCTGAGTTATCAGTCATGATTAGGACATACAGGTAAAAACACATTTATTGGTTTTTACATTTCCACTTGATCATCCAATTATTCTTGAACTCATTAACGTTAGAGAGTGAGGGACGAGTAGGGATACGATTCAATACTGTAATTTCTACAGCATCTTTTCTAGTTGTGCTTGTTAATACGGTATGTATTGTGTTTTAAACCTATGTGATCTTTTCACAGTATGGCACTAATCAACTGTGCACTTCACTGCACATTGTACAGAGTATAATTGTGTATATGACAAATAAACTTGAAATGAATCTTGGATTCCTCAATACAGCCACCATTTACCTGATTCACTATCATGAGGCATTCAAGATTGAGGTCTGGAGATTGGACTTGCCAGGTCATTGGTTTGAGTTGTTCTTTCCTTTGCTTCTTTGCCAGATACTTACATTACTTTTAATGTTTTTTGGGTCTTCTTGTTGAACATTTGAAAGGCCACTCAGCTGTAATCCTGATGGAATGGCATGCCTTTGAAGCATGCTGGGTGAGATTGCCATGGGTTTTGTGAGATCGCCAACTGTCTCACCAGCAAAACCATCCCAGACCATGATATTGCCTTCAGTCTTGACACTGAGAACTACACATGCAGAACTCATGTGCCCACCCTCTCTGCATCTTTTAAATACTGGCTGAATCCAGATACCTCAAATTTTGACTCTTTCATTGTAGTTTACAGGCACATACAGATTAAAACATAGAATTATGGTTTTGTGCAGGTGTAGTCAGATTTTTATTGATGCTGTACTTTATTGCAACTGTTTGTAGTGTTATGCTATTGGTTGACAACCATTCATTGCAGGCTGTGTACACATTGTGCTCTGATAATTCTGTCAGGTTTATGTATTTAACATGGCTCTGCTCATATTTTCTCTTTTTCTAGTGATGATAAGCCAATGGCAAATTGAGCCCAAAGAAAGGGTCATCTCTCTAGTCCTGAGCCATCTCCCATTATTGAAGCCTGGAAATGTGGAAGCCAAGGGGGAATACATGTGCCTGCTCCCCAAAATCCTGGCACACACCATTGAGCATGGGCGCCACCTGGAGGAGAGTCGGCAGCTGCTGTCTTATGCCCTAATCCATCCTGCCACCTCCCTGGAGGACCGGGCAGCACTTGCGCTGTGGCTCAATCACCTTGAGGAGCGGGTTGCAGCGAGAGGAGCTGGGGACTCTTTGGAGCGGTCCTCCACACCCCACCAGCAGCATCCTCAGCTGTACCCACATCATCAGCGTTACGGTTCAGACGATCGGCTCAACGGCTGGCAGAGCTCCCGGGATTCTGCTCTAGGGAGCTGGCAGCAGCAGCAGAGCACAGAGAATGGGCACCTCCCTCTTTACCCTGCTTCCTCTCTCCCTTCTACCATCAACACGGTGGGCTCTGGCAGTGGGACCATCACTAGTAAGTCAAGCTCATTTTCCATTTTCTTTTCCAGAGAAGCCAAAAGCACTTGTTTGCATCACAATAAATGCTATTAAATTAGCTTATGTGATTCTGATTTTGTTTACATTGCCTACTTAACCATGAAAACTCTGAGAAAAAATTGCACTGATTTTCCATAAAGCGATGCAACTGCAAAGGTCTCTGCAGATACTATTGAAAAACTGGTAGCTGTATTATTTCTTCAGGACATTCTCCCTTTACCCACACCTTTGGCACTATTTTGTGCTCTGGTGTAGCTAATACCTTCAATCAAAGCCGATGTCCTCAATTTATGTGGGAAATAAACTCATAAATTGTTTGACACATTGGAAATATTAATCAAGACATCATTAACTTACAATTACATATATGCTATAGAATAAAGAATGTGCAACAGGAACTTTTAGATTCAACATATCTGTGGTTAGAGCTGGATATTTTCAGCCAAGAATGCAAGGATCTTTTTGCTGATGGAAACAGCTGAGGATATAAATTAGACATTTAAAGCTCTGTTGGAAAAGATCCTTCTTTATTTTTGACTACTTGGATGTTCAGCATGACAAAAGCACAGTAGACTTGAGTTTGTTGTATGTAATAAAACTTTTTTTGAGGTGATATTACCTATAATAGTAATAAATGTTGTTCCCCCACATAAAATTAATTCTATTAAAATAATGGCCTGGGGAAAATAATCCTGATAAATAATTTTTAAAGTAGATTTGATCAGCTAAAAGTTAAAATGAATTAAAATCTAGAGCAAATAGGTGCAGGTAATTTATTTCACAACTGAATAAGAGCCACTAGTAAAATAAAGCACACCATCTGGCTGGCCACCACCCTTTTAAACAGTGGGCAACACATACCATTCAGGCCCTGTTCTCCATGTATGGTATGCTTTGTGGAGTCTGTATTTAGGAAAATGGCTAATATTTAGGGACTGGAACTTGTAATATTAGCTGGTCACCTATTTTAGCCAGCACTCGACTATAGATAGTTGTTCTGTTATAGAACCTGAATAGTTACTGCAGTATTTAGGTGAAAGATTTTTAGACTTCCAAAGCATTATGCTTGTACAGATTTGCTTATATATGTCTTGGGGATTATACCGTTTCTCCTCCACTTGAATATTTTCTATAATGTGATGCCAATGCTTTTTAGGATTAACCAGAGTTTGATAGGAAGATTTTTTTGAAATTATTTTTATTCTGGGAATGGACTTGCACTGAGCTGAGATATTTGAGATACACATTTACTGACACAAGGTTTGATACTTGAGCTTTGATGCTTCTGAATAATCGACACTTATGAGGAAAAGATGTTTGCTTGTAAAAGAATGATTTGTGAATTCTTTTCCTCTCAGTTTGGAGCTGTTTTTGCTTGGTAGTTTTGTGAACTCCCTGATGTTTGAGACAGCAGCCTTGTCAGCTAGATATACAATGTAGCTTTGGACTCGTGCTTTTTGCTAATGTCCTTATGCAAGTTTTAAGTCCTTATCAGACTAATTTTTTATTATCCTTTACATCTCTATACCTCAATACCTGTACACTGCAAAAAAAGCTTCCCAATAGCATCTGAGATGAAGTGTCCCCAAAGCATGCTGCTTTCACTGTACTTCACTTAGGGGCTGATGTGCTGTACTGGGTCTGTCCCAAATATTACAGTATGATCACTGCTTTCATCATGTTTTCAAGTGGTGGACAGCATGAATTTGTAAAACTATTCTCACTGATGTTTGGGGCTCTGTGTTGCATCAGGATTTTCATTAGTAATGACCCCTGCTTATGTGATGATATAACTTTTCCGCATATTGTTGGCTGATGCACATTTTCTTCTATTGCAGCCATTCAGTTCAATAGCTATTAAAACCATGACATTGATGAGTCTAATAAGAGTCAGCTGGGTTTTATAACCCATGGCAACTGCATGCTGGTGATCAAGGCTGCTGCTCATGTACCCTGGTAATGCAAAACACCCCTCAAACCCAAGTCTGTGCCATCGATTTACCTCCTGCTGGTCATGGCAGTAATATACTCTAAATCCATGTTCTTTAGTCATATGAAATGTCATATGTCATATGAAATGCATTTTAACATTAAATATTTTTATCTTAAATACCCCTGACTTAGGCCTGTTTATGACACACATAAGCATATACAGTACATGAATATTTTATGTCTAGAATGAATTGTATGCTTTGTCATGCAGAGTATGGATACCAGGGTCATTAACCATTGTAAACTTGCAGGGAACACTTCAGCCTATGACTAAAATAACATAATAAATACAAAAATAAAGTAATATTGCAGTACTGAATTTTTAATTGGGCTTTCCGCATAACTTAAAGACCTTTTGGACCTCAACCAAAATTTCAACCCCAATGATTAGCCTCCCACAGTACAGATGCTCTTCTGCATACAAATGAGATACGTTCTGGAATATCTTGAAATATTCATAAGTCTTGAAATATTCAACATCATTTTAACGGTATACGTATAGTATAGTACTAAGAACTAGGATGCTGGGAGTTCACACACTACACTGCCGCGCAGCGGGAGTATCAGCCAGAAGTCGTACTAGGCGGAATTGGTGCATGTAAAAAAAAAATTTGATGTTGCGGACAGGAAATGGGAGCCCAATGAACATGATTTGGACTTACAGTCCTCTTCGTTCGTATGTCTTAAAGTTCGTAAGTTGGAAGTTCGTAAGTAGAGGAACGTCTGTATTCAATGCATATTTTAAACTATTTCTTTTTCTGAGCCCAGCATGGAATAAAAGCAGATAAGGAAATTAAATTTGTAGTTAAAATAAAACTGCAAGTGCAATCTTTGTACAGTCATTCCCCGCAATAACAGATGTGTAGAATCTTTATATTTTTTAAAGTGCTGCTGTTGAGTTCTGATTCACTGAAATATGTCAATTAATTGTCGGTTTGCTGCTTTTCAAGCAAGCTAGTCATCAGCTCTTTACACTTAGAACAGCTAGAGCAGGGGTCTCCAACTCAGGTCCTGGAGGGCTACTATCCAGTAAGTTTTCTATCCTACCTGGCTTCTGATGAGCCACACCTGTTCCTGGTATTTACCTGAGAACTAGTGTGGCTCATCAGAAGCCAGGTAGGATAGAAAACTTACTGGATCGTAGCCCTCCAGGACCGGAGTTGGTGACCCCTGAGCTAGAGAGGATTTTAAAAAATTGTACCCAGACCTGTTTCAAAAGAATTCTTTTCCTGTTCAAGACTGTGCTGCTGTCCTTCAAGCTGCCTGTTGAAGTCCAAATTGTCCATTCAGTGTGTATGATTTTGTTCGCTGTCAGTTTCAGTTGGGGCCTCGTGCACTGTTATGCATAGTTTTTGACACAAACTTGTGAGATATTTTTGGCAGAACCCGTTTCTCACAGAAAGGGTGCCATATGGCATCTGTCTGTTTTGCAGTCCTGTCTGGTGGGCAGCACAGCCCCCTGAAGCGCTCAGTGTCCCTGACACCTCCAATAAGTGGTACTGCAAGCCAGGCCCTGGGCCATGTTTGGCTGTCTCAGGAGGATCTGCGGGTCCGTGGCCCAGCCTCCGACCATGCCCCCCTCTCCCCCCAAAGCAGTGTGGCATCCTCAGGAAGCGGGGGCAGTGAGCATTTGGAGGAAGGTTCTGGCATGGGTGGTGCAGTACACCGCAGCACATTCCATGAGGAGGGCAGTGGCATGAGAGGTGAGTCTATAAGGAACTCTTTGTTTTACGCAAGTCTCTGGTGTTGTTTCTTGTTGCAGATCAATATGGTTTTCAGATTCAAATATAAAAATATAAGCAAAAAAGGAGTAGAGGAGACATGTTGGCTTTGTGGGTAGTTCTGTAGCCTCAAACTTCCAGGGCTGTGGTTGGTTGATGGATCCTGCTCTGTCTTTTGGTTCTCCAGTGTATGGAATAGGGTTCCATAATTTCCCATTGTGTGTGTGTTCCCAGTGATGGACATTGCGACCCTATAATGCAACCCTGTATGTGATTTTGGGACATGAATGAATGTACTGCCATTTTACTAAATGGAGTAGACCTCTGTGGGCTTAATTGAAATGTTGTTGTTTCAAATCTCATGATGGGCAGAGTCTATAATGACTTTATGTAATCTGTATATACACTCACCTAAAGGATTATTAGGAACACCTGTTCAATTTCTCATTAATGCAATTATCTAATCAACCAATCACATGGCAGTTGCTTC